TGGAAGTTTGACCCGTGTCAAAGGTTGGGGGGGTGGCTGACGATTCGGGAGGTGGCTGCGGGTTGACGAAAGGGAAAAGCGCATCGGAGGGGGTACAATGTTTAGCTGAAAATAGTCCGGTGAGTTTGTCTCAAAAGAACCAGAAAGTAAGTAAATGTATTAGCGGCCTTGTATAAATGTGAATGCCCAATGCAATTTAGTCGCGCTTAAAAAGAAACTTAAAATGGAGGTTTTCAGGACAGAGAAGGGACAAAAAAATATGAACACAAAGAAATGAAATAACAATCTTGATGATTAGCTGACTGAGGAGGTCCACTGCTTTAAACTTATAGGCCTACTTATAGAATTTCCAGTCGGTACCATGTCGACCACCTGAGCAACCTAAGAAATACTCGATACCGAAAATACCTGCGCTATTGTACAACAGATTTTGGAAAACTCATTTGTTGAACTTTTTGACAATAGGATTAACAATCTGCGCAATTTTCCGCTGCCCTTGATTTCGGACAACATGACTGGTCAGTTCAGACAACATGAGAGACCAGACTTACCTTGCTCCTTCTTAACCGACCCCGTCTCCCGGCACCCTGGTCGTCGGACAGATCTGGAGGAAATAACAAATCAGGCGCTCGTCAAAACAATGATATCAAAGAAACCATCACTTTTTCAGCCTATTGATCAATATTTACCGATTTTCTTATTTGGCTCAATAATGCTCATTTCCATATAAAAACACATTGTTTTTGCCTGGATTGTACTTTAAAACGATGATCAAAAAAAACCCACCTTATTACTTTACAGTTTCTAAGGACCCAGATGTCTGATCCAGCTCCGGCTGAGAGTGATACAACATCCCAAAAGAAAGCCCCAGATAGTCGATTAACATTTCGTCCCTCTCGGGTATCGAACTCTGGTATTCCGTGTGCGATAATGCAGCGACTGACTACTACACCATGAACGCCGGTATAGAGATGATTGAAACAGGGAGAAAAAAAGAAGATAATTAGTAATTTACACAAAGAATGAGTGAGAAAATTGCATCAGAGAGAGGAACTGAGAGAAAAAGGACATTATTTTTAAAATTCTATACAAAAAGACCAAAATATATTTATTATTATATTATTAGTAGTAACTAGTATTATCATTATAATGGTAATGATAATAATAATAGTAATGATGATGATAAACATGATGATAAAAAGCAATAGCAACAATAACAACAACAACAACAAAATAAAATAAAAGAGAGGAAAGGTGTATGTATGAGTATGTTTGTGTGTCTGTATATTATGTTTGTGTGTGTTTGTGTATGTGAGTGTGTATGTTTGTGTTGGTTTTTGTTTGTGTGTCTGCGTGTTTGAGTCTTGTGTGTGTGTGTGTGTGTGTGTGTGTGTGTGTGTGTGTGTGAGTGTGAGGGGGGATCGGAAAGCGGCTTGTGGGTTGGGGGTAGGGGGGCTGGCAAATACTTTGAGAAGTCTAAGTATCAATAGAACAAAATCCCCAACAAAACATTGGGAAGCGAGGGGGAAGCAAAGCCGCTCGTTAAAGTTAACATTTTCAGGGCTGGATCAATACCTGGTCGGGTATTTTCTGCGCTGTCACTCTCGAGCCGCGCACTGATGTGGCAGATCAATTCTCCCTGCACAACCCGGTTTTGGCGGGAATTAGAAAGGTCACGCAGTGCAGACACAATTTGTAACACCCCTGTGTTCGGATAATGTCCGATTTTTACATATTTATAAGCCTCTTATTGTTTCTGGAGAATGCTGAGTTGAATTCTTCTTTTTCAAGAAATGCAATCTCTCTCCACTTTTACCAGATGTCTGCGTTTCTTAAAAGCAAAAGATACAAACTTTTTAAAGAGATAATGAAGCACCCACTTAAGCGTATTGTCACTCTGGATAAAAGAATGGCCAAGTCTGTCAATGAATCAATAACTTTGTATGGGTCACAGAAGATAAGAAAAAAAGTAACGATTCCTTTTTACATCTATAAAAAACGGAGCGCAAAAAATGAAACATAGTATTTGGTAAAGATCAAAGGGCTGATTGAATAATATATTACTAATTAAACTATTATTTCTAAGAAAGCCAAATATGCTCTGATCGCTACAATTTTTGGAAACAGATGAGTAGTTGTAAAGTCACACGCCCAAGAACGATATTTTATAAAAAATATTTTGATGAGTACTTTTCATCTCAGGAAAAGTGACCCGTGCTTTGGTAAAATGTGTTAATGAGACGCAATATTACTTATGAACAGAATTTAATTCACTTAAAATATGATGAGTGGCTCTTTCCAAACAAAAGTAGTGACATGTTTTCGGTCGGTTTTGATTTTTCCTTCATTACAAGACGCCTCAACTTAATAAAACTGTCCGCAAGTTTTGCTTCCGCCTACTTAAAGGTGGAAAATCCGCTCAAGAGTCAGAAAGACGGCTAAAATGCAATGCGTGTATTGTTTCTCGACTTATCCAAAGATTTTAGCATACTTGCAATGTTCAAGATAGACAAAGTATAGGACAGCCTCGATTGCCAAGCCCTTCTCAAGACAAGAAAAATGTTGCTGTCACATCTGGGGAATCGTTTCCTTCTTACCAAAGTAACAGCTGAGGGCATTCAAGGAGTGCATGAAAACGTGAAAAGATTGTTTGAGCTTGTGTGTGTATGTGAATATGTATGTATGTACATGTGTGTGTGTGTGTATGTGTGTGTGTGTGTGTGTGTGTGTGTGTGTGTGAGTGTGCTGGGAAAGTAATAGCGGGGAGAGGGGGAGGACGTAAGATTGTGCTTCCTGAAACCTATCTTTATTTCCCTTGTATTGCATTTTTGAGCTCCTTCTATTTCACAGAATACTGTTTATCACAACCTTCGTGGTGCTCATGCTGAGCCTAAAGTTTAAGAATAAAATATGCAAAATAAAAAGATGAGCAAATAGGAAGATATTGGCGCATTTGATAAGAGAAGTATGACTTCATTGATCCTCTTTATGGAAGAAATTAACATACCATTAAGCAGTGACTGCTAACCGACCACCACTACCATCGATTAGTACGCTTGTCACTATATCATGGGCATCTTATCTCTGCTCACAAAAATCCTTTATGCTCGTTTGAGGGCAGGTTGGGATTTCCCCAAGCGCTAGGCTCATTAATGAGCAGAAAAGGTCAAGGTATTTTGCAAATCTAGGCAATCCGTTTTAAAATCTATCTCAGTCCCATCAACACTGCAGAAGACTCTGCACGGGTGAACAGACTAACTGAGCAGTACAACACAGCTTATGATAGATACCGGCCTTAAAGTGAGATACGATTGACAAGAAGAAGAACACTTCCACTTCCATCCATTTGTTATATCAGTACTCTTTAAGAATCTCTTATTTGAATTTCTATCCCAGCTTTCTTGTACCTGACTGACAACTTCGAGGTTGCCCGATAGTCTTACCCCCTGTTTTAACATAAGCATACGCCCCCCCCCCCTCATCCCGGAAAAAAATATGTAAAACACAACGTTTTACACTACATTCCACTAGTCTTCATATCCTCCACCCCCCCCCCCCCCCCCCAAAAAAAAAAAAAGAAAAGTAAAACCTAAAAAATTATTTTTAAAATTAAAAAAACAATAAAATAAAAAAATAATGACATTAAAAAAATAAAATCTTCGATATCCCCACGATCACGATCTCCCTGCCCCCACTCATAACAAAAATAAATAACAACAACAACAAAAATAACCCACACCCTCCCGACCCCCACCCAACCCTTATTTTAGGAGGCCGCATTAACATTTTATTAATCACTTACTAAAAGAATCGTCGCTATCGGCAGCGTCCGCCTCATCATCGTATCCTCCAAAAATACTCGGCGACATCCGGGGCGACGGGAGAACATCGTCGCGCGCTCGGTAATCCTCGACAATTCTCGGGTCCTCGTCGAAGGCTCCCGAGGCCTCGAGATATCTTATGATGTCATCCTCAAAGTCGATAGAGGTCATGCTGGTCTGGCGGGAGATGTCCCATGGTCTGAAAGTGAAAGAGAGCGTGAACAAAATGATCACTTTATTATGATTGTCGTATTTGTATTGCAAATGTTTTGTTGTGTATGGCTGGTTGGACGATAACAGGTACGCATCGCTGGACTGCAGTTCCACAAAAGAAAAATAGTCAAAAATATAGGCCACTCCTTAGGAATGTAAGTTATCATGTAAGTTCTACATCCTTTTTAACAGTGTAAACGGAATATTCGAATTGTAAGTCCATCTCAAATGAGACCGAGCCAAGAGGTAGTCAGCACTGGAAACAATAAGATTTCAAGAATGCTCCTTCAGGTATTCGAACCTTTATAATCCGAATAACAGCTCGGCATGTTGTCAGCTAAGCCTGAAGTAATGGGGAGTGGGTAGAAAGTAAAGATCACGAAAGAGAACTCAACCCCTACACCACCCCTCCAGCCCCTCAAACATCCCGCTGATCCTACACAAATAATATAAAGACAACAGCAACAGCTGCAGAGGAGGAAGAGGTGAAGAGTCTAGGAGAAAGTAAGAGGGAGGGAGAGAGAGACAGTGAGAGAGGGGGATGGAGGGAAGGAGAGAGAGAAGAGGTGGGAGGGAGGGGGGGGGAGAGAGACAGACA